TAAATACTCCCCCGTGATAGCTTCGAGTTTTACAGAGCCTGGCTTCCTCCAATAAACTTGTATACGACCATTTCCACCTCCTTGCTTGTGCAGAGCTTCCACAAAATATCTTTGACGGGCAACCAAGCGGATATTACGAGATAGCTGTGTTGGATATTTCCAGAAATCTCCTTCGCCTGTCCAGGCGCTTACAGTTGGAGAGTAAACACTTGCTATCAGGCGAATATTGTGCGGGTTTTCATCGAAACTGAGCCACAACTCTGATGTATCGTCCGACGAGACGGCGAATGTGTAAAGTCCTGAAACTTTAGGTTCAATGAAACCAAAAATTCTTTGGCCGTAGCTGTCATAATCACGCACCGTTTGAAAACTTCTTAGGAATAATCTCTCGTGTGGATAGCGAGGAAAAAGTGGTGTTTCACGGAGGCGATCCACATCTAAACCGCACAACTCGTTCCACACATGTAGATTCAATAGTCCAGGAATATTGGAGGAATTATATAGCTTATTGATAGGAAGATTTCTCAGCGAAACTGGTTCATTGAACACGACAGCCTGAACAATCGATTGCTGTACATCTACATACTGAGTTTTCGCACGAAACCAAATAAATGAAAAAAATCCAATGAATACTAAACAAAGGTAAATTGGAACTAGAAGCAGAAATCCTATTCGCAATTTCTTCCAAACCATGACTGTTGAAACATGTCCGCGCGGTCAGCACATGTTCTTTATTATTTTTATCACTCGCCGCCACGCATGCGTTTGACCTGCCCAATATCACTTGTCACCTTTGTTATTCTTCCACTTGTATTTCACTTGACCATTCAAATGATTTGAACTGTTTGATGTTTTACACAGTAAAAAATTCAAAGGTGAGTAAATCGCCTAACAAAGCGAGCCAATATACGCCTCAGATTTATATCAGCTGACGAGTTTTCGATACTCGTTCGACCGAGTCAATGGACAAGGAAATGGGGTTTGCCGTCAGCTTCCGAAAATATCATCATTCGCTATAGATGATGTAAGCCCTTAACAAAGTCTGTTTCGCCCACTCACCAGTCACAAGATTCCCTGGTCAGTTCCATCCAGAAATACAAAGCCTGACGGTTTTCCGAAATGTCAAAGCTTTTCAATATTTAAGGAAAAATGCTAATAATTGTTAAAAGAATTAGCCTGAAAGGGGATGAAAGAAGTGAAAGAGGCTGATTCGTTGTAATTTTCCGATTTGTTTCTTGGTATCCAGAGCTAAAAGCAGCTCTGAAACTTTATGATATCACAGCTTGAGTCAGATCATGGCTCTCATTTTCTATAAGCGGAGGGTTGGTAGAACGCCAAGGGTGGAAAAATCTTATTGTATATATTTAGGGTATATTTCGGATACAGTTCGGATCCCGTTCAAAGCCTGAAAATTTTTTCAGGTCTTTCTTCCAGTAGTGTTATGGCTGCATTCGCATCTATCATCATGTCTACATTTAATTGCTACTGCTGGACATCAGGCTACAGTGTTGATCAAAACAGACAGACAAAACATCGCCCATTGTAAGACTCGCACATGTTTCATTAACACATGTATAGCAAGGTTTAAAATATACATTTTCCACATGGTGTGAATCTTCTGTTTTCACATGTTTATTCATAATGAATAGACTTAAGCTGCAACTCCAGAATTCTCTGCTTCTCTTCCATGGGCAATTATATTAAACTTCCTGTTGGAAGTTTCGAAACAAATAATAAATTTTAATAAGTAAAAGTTCGTGACTACGTCCCTCAATTTAAGTTTCGACAATCTTCTTGTTTCTATTTTACACATAATTATGGAAAAGGACGCAGACGCGGCTATTTCAATTACAATTGCATAAATAAAAATAAATAAATATTTTATTTTGTGATAAAAATTAACGCTATAAGCAAACAACGCTTCGACCGTTCAACGGTCATTTTCAAGTTCGGTAGAAGAATAAAATTAAATGCATAAATATAAACGCTAAAATATGTATATGAAACAATAGGTGGTAAAAAGTTTCTTTCTACAACTATGCATACCATTCGCATTAATGTATTTTTACTTTTCATCGCCTATTGTTCCATATACATATTTTAGCGTTTTTAACCATATATTTATGCATGTAATTTTATTCTTCTACCGAACTTGAAAATTACCGTTGAACGGTCGAAACTTCGTTCCCTTATAGCGTTAATTTTTATCACAAACTCAATTTCAAAGAACTCATTGATTCGGATATTTTATTTTACACATAATAATTATTATGGAAGGACCTAGAAACCGATATTTCAATTACAGTTGAATAAATAAATAATACATAAATAAATAACCTCAAAATCATTTTACTGATATAAATCTTAGCGACAGGCTCCGAGAACCTAAGTGAAGTTTTGAGGTCACGAAAGTTGTCAGATTCCACATCTCTTCGAGTCGCTTTTTCCCACCAAAAATGCT